CCCCCCCAGCCCAGCTTCCCTAACCCCGGCCCCCGCCTCCAACAGCCCCTCAGCCCTGCCTCCCCCACGCCCCTCCCCCGGCCTCAATACTTTCCTGATACCCCCACCCCCCTGACACCCCTTCCCTTGGCCCTGCCCAGCCTCTAATCCTCTCACCCCATCAACCTCCCACCCCATAGCCCCTCAACTGACACCCCAGCCTACACCCCAACACTCTCCTGACACCCCTCAGCCTAACCTCCCCTGAGCCAGCCTCTGACAGCCCCCCAACACTCCCTGCCCAGCCACCAACACCCCCCCAACACTCCCTGCCCAGCCACCAACACCCCCCCAACACTCCCTGCCCAGCCACCAACACCCACAAGCCAAACTTCTTCCCCCCGCCCAGCTTTGGACACCTCCTGGCCTTACTCCCAACCTCCCATCCCAGCAGCCTCCTCTCTCTCCCACCTCCTGACCCCATGCAGTCCCCAGGCCTGCCCCGAGACACCCCCCCTCCAGCCCAGTCTATGGCACCCCGCTCTCCGTCCGCCCCTCCCCACTGAATGCACTTTCTGAGGAGGTACAAATAAATCCAGAGTCAATGGCTGTTAACATTAGTCAAGAAAGGGGTCCTTTAGGCTGTGCGTCAGCCCCTTGCTTGTCCCTATTGATCTCAGCCCAGGCATGGCCTGTTCACACCAAGCGTGGTGGAGAAGTGGCCAAGATCTGGTGCAATGGATAGTTGTTGAAGGGGTGATTTTAGAAGTAATGGCCATTTTCCTGTTCTTCTCCAGAACCCACCCTTTCTCCTGCAGCAGAGGATGAAGAATTCTGTAGGGACACATGCCAAGAATTGCCCTCTTTCAACATGGCCACCATTGCCAATATTCTCAATGGAACTGATGCCACAGGTTGCCCTTACTAAAGATGGCTACTGCCAGCCTTCCCCTCCTCCTTTTGCTTCCTGAGGGAGCTGGTGGCCATTTTGAAGAAGGTAGTATTTCATGGCATTCTCTGCAGAAGAATATGCCTTCAGCCTTAGTCCTGTTTTCAGAATCTACCTGTTGCACCACATCTACTCTACAGGGACTGCAGGAGGGATGGGGACCTGGGGAGTAGGGAAGGGGGAAAGAGGTGGGTGGGTGCCCATACAGGGACCGTGGAGATGGGGAAGGGGATCTGTGATGTGCACTCCTGCTGCTCTGGTGCAAAGCAGCTTTAAGCACCTCATAACTAGCCAGTGCTCTCTGTGCTGCTCTACGGTGGAGTCTCCTGTCACAGATCGTGTCCTAGTTTCCTAGTTTGATTTAATTTAAATTGGTTTAGCCCTTGTCTACAAACAAAAGTTGTAGCACTTTAACTCTACCCTCAGAGTTAAACTGGTACAACCACTGCAGTGTGGATGCAGTTATATTGGTATAGCGGTGTCTGGTTAGTCCCGTGCGGAAAGCGGAATAAGTTCTCTGCTATATGGCACCTTGATACCAATCTCACTGCATCCACAGTAGGGGACTGATTTAACTATTTGGGTAGAATAAACCCCCCTGACAGAAATAGTTCTCCCAGCACCAAGTCTGCGTGTAGAGCAAGCCTAAAGCTACATCCAAATAGGACACTTCGTCCAAAATAAGCGTCCATCCATAGACAGAATGACTAAGGGTGTGAATTAAAATCCATTTGGGGGAAGGCATTGGCTAGTGTGGTAACCAGCCCTTACCTAGGCTTGGTCTACATTAAAAGCTACAGGAGCTAAACGTGTGACATTCAGTGATTTAACTGGATGTACGTTTGTGCGAGGGCACTATGCTATCGACTAAACCCTGCTTTCTAGCGGTCTGGCTTGTGTCGATAGATATCTGGGGCCAAGTTAAGCCGCTATAATTGCTCTTACACTGATAGAAGGGTCTCCTCCCAGAGGTTTGCATCAGTGTAAATCGGATTTTAATTTGGTTTCAGTTACACTAGTGACTTAGTGAAGCCTCTGGGGCAGGGATCATCTTTATTGTGTATGGCTAGAGCCCAGTACACAGAGGCATTGATTCCTGACAGGGCCTCTGGAACTACTGCAGTAGAAATAATTCACGCTAATAATACTAGTTTCCCTGGTCTCTGGTCATAGAGTCACTTGGGCTGAACGGACCTTCCAGATGGTCACCTGGACCATGCACTGGTCTCCATTGAAGGCCTCTGGGGTGGTGACACTCACCTTTCTGTGCTCACAACCTGGGTTGGGAATGCACAGGAATCCTTTTCGTAGCTCTGGTATCACTACTGCAGCCAGCCTCCAAAGTCCACTGCATCCCTTGCGTTAGAAGGGTCTGAAGCTGCTGGCTCCATCAGTGGGAAGCAGAAAGGGGGTAATGATGTCACTGGCTTTTTGTATCTACGCTGCTTTAGAACATAAGAACGGCCATACTGGGTGAGACCAAAGGTCCATCTAGCCCAGGATCCTGTCTTCCGACAGTGGCCAATGCCAGATGCCCCAGAGGGAATGAACAGAACTGGTAATCATCAAGTGGTCCATTCCCTGTCGCCCATTCCCAGCTTCTGGCAAACAGAGGCTAGGGACACCATTCCTGTCCATCCTGGCTAATAGCCTTTGATGGACCTATCCACCATGAACTTATCTAGTTCTTTTTTGAACCCTATTATAGTCTTGACCTTCACAACATCCTCTGGCAAGGAGTTGCACAGGTTGACTGTGTGTTGTGTGAAAAAATACTTCCTTTTGTTTATTTTAAATCTACTGCACATTAATTTCACCTGGTGACCCCTAGTTCTTGTGTTATGAATACGGCTGTGTGTCTGTCACGGAGGTCACGGATTCCATGACTCCCCGTGACTTCTGCAGCACCTGGTGCTGGCTCAGGGGCTGCCTGAACTGGGCAGCAGCAGTTTGGGTGTGTGGGAGGGGGCTCAGGGCTAGGGCAGGGGGTTGGAGTGTGGGGCAGCGCTTACCTCAGGGGAGGAATCCCCGGCTCCGACCGGCATGTCCCTGCAGCTCCTAGGTGGAGGGGCCAGGGGGCTCCGCACGCTGCCTGCACCTGCAGGTGCCATCCCCACAGCTCCCATTGGCTGTGGTTCCCAGTCAATGGGAGCTGTGGAGCTGGCACTGGTGGCAGGAGCAGCACACAGAGCACCCCTGGCCGCCCCTCCCCCTAGCAACTGCAGGAACATGCCAGTCGGAACCGGGTAGGGAGCCTGCCAACCTTGCCAACCCTCCCCCCCAGCACCAGCAGGGGTCCCAGCTGCACGCTACCCCCCACCAGTGCCAGGCGGGGGTCCTGGGCCACACACCACTACCTGCCCCCACTCAGCACCAGTGAGGGTCCCGGGCCACCACCCCCAGCACCCGTGGCGCCCTAGACCACCCCCACAGAGCACTCGGGACCCCCGCCCCAACTTTTAGTTACGGGTATATAGTAAAAGTCATGGACAGGTCAAGGGCCGTGAATTTTTTTTACTGCCCAGTGATCTGTCCATGACTTTTACTAAAAATACCCGTGACTAAAATGTAGCCTTAGTTATGAGAAGGAGTAAATAACATTTCCTTATTTACTTTCTCCACACCAGTCATGATTTTATAGACCTCTATCATATCCCCCCTTAGTCGTCTCTTTTCCAAGATGAAAAATCCCAGTCTTATTAATCTCTCCTCATATGGCAGCTGTTCCATATCCCTAATCATTTTTGTTGCCTTTTTCTGAACCTTTTCCAATTCCAATATATCTTTTTTGAGATGGGGCGACCACATCTGCACGCAGTATTCAAGATGTGGGCGTACCATGGATTTATATAGAGGCAATATGATATTTTCTGTCTTATTATCTATCCCTTTCTTAATGATTCCCAACATTCTGCCCACTTTTTTGACTGCCGCTGCACATTGAGTGGATGTTTTCAGAGAACTATCCACAATGACTCCACAATCTCTTTCTTGAGTGGTAACAGCTAATTTAGACCCCATCATTTTATATGAATAGTTGGGATTATGTTTTCCAATGTGCATTAC